AACCCGGCTGGGCTTAGCCCGAAGAGGCAACGTGGGGGGACCATGTGGGCCCACCACCCGCAAGGTCCAGCATGGGGGAGTGGTGCAGTGCCGTACAGACAGTGGGAGATTGCACGGGGGCCCTTGGTGGCCTAGGCCCCTGCGGCAGAAACTGGCTCTTGGTACGTGGAATGTAACCTCACTGGGGGGGAAGGAGCCGGAGCTTGTGCGGGAGGTTGAGAGTTACCAACTAGATATAGTTGGGCTAACCTCCACCCACAGTATCGGCTCTGGAACCAAACTCCTGGATAGGGGTTGGTCCCTCTCCTACTCCGGGGTTGCACAAGGTGAGAGGCGCCGGGATACTCACGAGTCCCCGGCTGGCGGCAGTGCAGTGTCCCGGTGGACGAGAGGGTCACCTCAATGCATATTAAAATCGCAGAGAGGAAAACTCTGACTGTTGTGTGTGCTTATGCACCAAACAACAGGTCGGAGTATTCGGCCTTCTTGGAACAAGTGGGCAGGGTTCTGGAAAGGGTCCCGCCTACAGACTCCATAGTCTTACTGGGAGACTTCAATGCTCATGTTGGCAATGACTGGGAGACCTGGAGAGGCGTGATTGGGAAGAACGGCCTGCCCGATCTAAACCCGAATGGTGAATTGTTATTGGACTTCTGTGCCAGGCATGGATTGTCCATAACGAACACCAAGTTCGAACACAAGGATGTTCATAAGTGTACATGGTACCAGAGCTCCTTGGGTCAAAGGTCAATGATTGACTTTGTTGTCGTTTCATCTGACTTGGGACCGTATGTTCTGGACACTCGGGTGAAGAGAGGTGCTGAGCTGTCAACTGATCACCATCTGGTGGTGAGTTGGATCAGATGGCAGGGAAGACTGAGGGTTAGACCCGGTAGGCCCAAGCGAATAGTGAGGGTGTGCTGGGAAGGACTGTTGGAGGCCCCTGTTCGGAACGATTTTAACTCCCACCTCCGGGAGAGCTTCTCTCATGTCCCGGAGGAGGTAGGGGACATAGAGTCTGAATGGACCATGTTCAAAACCTCCATTGTGGAAGCTGCCAGGCGTAGCTGTGGCCAAAAGCTTGTTGGTGCCTGTCATGGCGGTAACCCAAGAACCCCCTGGTGGACACCGGTGGTGAGGGAGGCCGTCAAGCTGAAGAAAGAGGCCTTTAGGGACTGGATGGCCCGAAGGACTCCCGATTCAGCAGATAGGTACCGACAGGCAAAAAAAGGTGGCAGCTGCAACGGTGGCAGAAGCAAAATCCAGGGCGTGGGAGGAGTTTGGTGAGGCCATGGAAAAAGACTTTCGGTCGGCCTCAAGGAGGTTCTGGACAACTGTCCGGCGACTCAGGAGCGGTCAGGGTGGCTGCGCCCAGGCTGTATTCAGCAGGGGTGGAGAAACTCTGACTTCAAATGAGGATATTGTCGGTCAGTGGAAAGAGCACTTTGAGGAACTCCTTAATCCGGGAGACATGCCTCCCTCACGGGAGTCAGGGTCAGAGGCCTCTGGCGTGTCAAGCTCCATTTCCCTGGTGGAGGTCACTGAGGTGGTTGGCAAGCTCTTCAGTGGCAAGGCACTTGGGGTGGATGAGATTCGTCCGGAGATGCTTAAGGCTCTGGATATTGTGGGGCTGTCGTGGCTGACACGCCTCTGCAATAGTGCATGGACCTCGGGAACAGTACCCTTGGACTGGCAGACCGGGGTGGTGGTCCCTATTTTCAAGAAAGGGGACTGGAGGGTGTGTGCCAACTATCGGGGTATCACACTGCTCAGCCTCCCTGGGAAAGTCTATGTCAAGGTGCTGGAAAGGAGACTTCGACCGATAGTTGAACCTCAGATTGAGGAGGAACAATGCGGATTCCGTCCTGGCCGTGGAACAATGGACCAGCTTTTCACCCTCTCACGGATTGTTGAGGGGGCATGGGAGTTTGCCAACCCAGTCTACATGTGTTTTGTGGATTTGGAGAAGGCTTACGACTGTGTTCCCCGAGATATCTTGTGGGAGGTCCTCTGGGAGTATGGGGTGCCGGGGTTACTACTCCGGGCCATTCAATCTCTGTATGCCCGGAGTGAGAGCTGTGTTCGTATACTCGGCATTAAGTCGGACTCTTTCAGTGTTAGCGTTGGACTCCACCAGGGTTGTGCCCTGTCTCCACTCCTGTTTGTGATATTCATGGACAGGGTGTCAAGGCGTAGCCGGGGTCAGGAGGGCATTATGTGTGGAGGCCGGAGGGTGGCGTCTCTGCTATTTGCAGATGATGTTGTTCTTTTGGCTGGATCACATGGATGCCTCCAGCGCGCACTGGAGCGGTTTGCAGCTGAGTGTGAAGCGGTTGGTATGCGGATCAGCACCTCCAAGTCTGAGTCCATGGTCTTAGCCCGGAAAAGGATGGTATGTCCACTCCAGGTAAGGGGAAAGGACTTGCCCCAGGTGGAGGGGTTTAAGTATCTCGGGGTCTTGTTCACGAGTGATGGGAAGAAGGATCGTGAGATCGACCGCAGGCTGGGACAAGCGGCAGCAGTAATGCGGTCGCTGTACCGGACTGTAGTGGTGAAGAGTGAGTTGAGCCATAAGGCGAAGTTCTCTGTTTACCGGTTGGTCTACATCCCGACCCTCACCTATGGTCATGACCGAAAGAATGAGATTGCGAATACAAGCGGCGGAAATGAGCTTTCTTCGCAGGGTGGCGGGCTACACTCTATTTGATAGGGTGAGGAGCTCGGCCATCCAGGAGGAGCTCGGAGTAGAGCCGCTACTCCTCCGCATTGAGAGGAGCCAGCTGTGCTGGTTCGGGCATCTGATCCGGATGCCCCCTGGACGCCTCCCGGTGGGGGTGTACCAGGCACGGCCTACCGGAATAAGACCCCGGGGTCATCCTAGGACCCGCTGGAGGGATTATATCTCCAAGTTGGCCTGGGAGCGGCTTGGGGTCCCCGGGAATGAGCTGGAGGAAGTTGCGGGGGACAGGGTCATCTGGGATTCTCTGCTCTCCCAACTGCTACTGCGACCCTATCTGGACTAAGCGGTTAACGATGATGATGATGATGATGATGATGATGATGATGATCACTGTGACAATCTTTGTTTGGCTTTAGGTTAGAATAGTTCAGCAAAAGATCTAATTAACATGATTTATCACTTACCCCAGTTGCAGTCGATCAGCTAAGACATGTTTAATATCTGACATCTGTTTGTCTAGTTTACAGCAGGATATGCTAGGCTAACATTGCTTACAAACTTCGACTGTCAATAAACTCTACTCTGTGAATACATGCCAAAATCGTAAGGCATTTGCTCCAAAAGTCTATTAAAAGTCTCTGTAAATGAGTTTTTAAGAAAAAAAAAATTGACAAAAATGGTACAGATAGACCTTATTTAAACATTTAGGCTAAAATTAGAACTACCTTTTCATCCACATAACACCCCCGCTTTGTAGTACTCCTCCCTCACTAAGCAGATATCATGTTTGTTTTTTAGCACAGCTACGGCTTCATAACTGGTATGACAGTTAGCTTTAAGTTGCATCTCGATGAGCCATGGAAGCACACATGGAAAGGAGATGAAATATTTATTGTAATTTGGTACAATGAAAAGGTTAAAAGTCAACTTGAAAATAAATGCAAAAAAAAAAGCCAAAACGTACATTTTCTGAGAGGCTGAGAGTGAGAGGATATAAATTTTTCTCCATTAAAATGGAAAAGATTATCTGCTGAATTGGCGACACATTGACGTCAGACACACGCTCCTCTACAAACCAGTCAATGTCAAGTACAGGGAGACACAGCCCTGATAGGTGATGACGACAGGACGTGGGTTTGTCATTCAAGTTCTTAAGAGCACTCGCTAAATTGCAATGTGAACCCAAAACTAACCAAATCAAATGTATTCAATGTAACAAAAACATGGTTTGGATCGCCAGATGTTCAGATGTCTTCATCTTGGCATTGTTATTTTTTTGGATATTCTTATTTTGGAATGGGCTACAGCTAGATTTCATAAGACGAATGCTGCCACAATTCATAACTAGTCAAATGCTATTGCTTTTGTCAAGGCCTTGTAGTGCCAGAGCCTTCTAAATCTAATTTATTATTTCTTTAAAATTTCATTGTTTGATTGTTGGTATGATGCGGATATTATCTTAACAACCTCCCCCCCAAAATATCTGTTCTTGTTTTTAATGTTGAATTTTAAGTGTGTTTGTATGTTATTAAAAAAAACAATACATATTCATTAACATTGGTTCATTGGTTCGAATCTTGGTCCAGACTTTCAGGTGTGAAAACATCCATGGACGTGTTCTAAACCACATCAATGTGTCTACACAAAACAAATGAAGATCTATATTAATTTTGAGTGGGTTGAGAGACGTTTTTGGGTATGTGTTCACGGAGATGAGTGTGGGGAGAATCCAACCCCAGCATCTGATAGCAATGTTAGCCTAGCATCTTACAGTAGAGAGGCAGATATCAGACATCAAACATTTCTTGGCTGATCGACTGTATCTGGGATAAGTGGTGAGTAATGTTATCTACAGAAATCCCAAGTGTAAGTGAAGTGCGTGAACATTAATCAGTAGGTTGTTCAGTAGGTTGTTCTGAGGATAGACATAAAAATGCGTGAGAAACGTCAGGTGTGACATAATTCTATGAGATTAGATCTAATGAATGATTTGACAGCCCTGGAATTTAATTTTGTTATTTTACACTTTGCACAATCCTAATACAAAATTTGTACTCAGATTGAATTATTTTAATAATTCCCCAGTTTTTTGTAGAGATACATTTGAGTAGTTTCAAGTAAGATTTTAAACCATCATCCACTGAAAGCCATTTAGGAAACCTAAACTGCTTCTTTTTTGGCATCACTACAAAAAAACTCTTTTTGTTATCTTTATTTTTAAAAATGAACCAGTTAGAATTTGTTTACTTGGACATGTTTTTGTTTTAAGATAAAGTCGCTATGATGTGGATGACTCCATCAGATAGAAAGGAAGTCTTACCCATAAGATGACTGACGATCTGCCATGACTGATGGGTTTGGCTTGGAGAAGAAACTCGGTCTGTTTTGCTTTTGAAGTCTAAATGTGAGAAACACAAGAAAAGTGTTTACGTATTTTAATTCTCACAAGAAGATAAACTTTGAAGAAACACCTAACCTGAACAAATGATACGTACCAGAACAACCTAAATCCATATTAAATAAAATTATTGTTACTTTACTGAAATAATGCCTCAAGTATAAATAAAAGTACCTTTCCAAAAAACAACATACAGTCAACCTGAAATCTAAATGGACATATTTTAATGTGTTAGTTCATGTTGGTTATTTTAAGCACAATCTGTCTTGTCATATTATTCAGAAGACAAAATTATTGTTTCTTTGTTCTCTGATCGAAGGGTGGTGACTGCCTCTAAATGCTATCTGACACTTGGATGCCTGACTGTGTTCCAGGCACCAGGCACCTCTGGAAGAGTCCGTATCAGTACTTTCAGTGTATGAAAATACCTTCTAACACTGCGGTTTTCTGTATGCACCAGATTATTATCTAAACAAATCTGACATCCAACATCAGAGCTTTGTTTAGTATCTTTTGGTATCCACAGTAAAGATTTATGTCAGATGATATTCCATCATATTCTGTCTGTCTGAGTAATGTAATATATAAGGTTAAACTAGATCACCAGAAACCAGCTTAGACCAGCAGGGAATCCAGCACTTTTGCAGATAAAACTGGACATTGCTGCCTTAATCAAATGATTGGAGAGATAAACATGAAACAAGGCACAGACTTTTAGTTTAAATGGACAACAAAATTTGTGATGAAATCAGTTTATATACCAACATCATGTCAGAACAGAAACATCTGAAGAGAAGAACAATGTTCTGTTAAGCATAGCTTACCTTCTGGAGGTTATTCCATGAAGCAGGCTAACTCAATAAGCCAGACTTATTTTTTAGCTAATTTTCTCCAATTTAGGTTCCACAAGAATAATTAAGCTAATCTCAGTTACTGCGGTAATAAATGTCTTTAGACAAACTGCTCTGTGTGAGGCTACTGCTGACTGAACAGGGTTCTGCTTCTGTCTGCAGCCAACAACTACGTGATACTGCAGATCACAATGAAGTAATGTTGCAGACCGGAGCACCAATGGGAGTGGTCAGTGGGCAAGATAACTTCTAAACATTTTGAATGCAGCCAATCAAATGACAGATTTTTTGCTCTTGATCACTTTTTATTATGCCAAATATCAACCAGAGCAGTGGTGAGCACAGTCTTTGTTAAGGGTGGTTGAGGTGCTTAAAAAGGCATTTTGTCTATATCAGTTTTTAAGTATATGGAAAAGCCATTAAGGACTAAGTTATTCTAATGCTTTGCTAATTTGCATGCACCAGATTATTACCTAAAAGAAATCTGACATCCAACATTGTTTAGTGTCTTTTTAGTATTCATGGTATTGTATCAGCTGATATCCCATCAAATTCAGTCTTTCTGAGTAATGTAGTACTGAAGATTAAACTTTTTTTTAAAAGGAGAAAGAATCACAGCAGGGACACTACCGAAGAGAATCTTCAAAAAGAAATGAAATATTCTTAAAATGAGAGGAAATAAATGTATTGTGTCAGTATAACTGTGTGTTACGTGAGGTTTTGTTTAATGTTTATTGTGTGTGCATTCATTTTGGTATCTTTACTATGTTAGTTTTAAGATATGATGAAATGTAACAGATTTTATTTACATTATAGCTTTTAAAATAATGTACGTAAAGCAGTTAACAAAGAATAAAGAAACACAAAGAAAGAGAAGAAAATAAATGGGCAAAATGAGCAGTGAAAAAGTAACATTGTCTAAAATTCTGCTTAATGCCACTGGAAAATAATAAGGAAAAAACAGAGCACTGCTGGTGGCTGCAGCCAGTGGGCTGCCAGCTTTGCTGTCAGTGGGTGAACAGTGGCCTGCTGTCCTCTTGATATCTGGGGATCCTACCTGCCCCAATGAGTAGTGCAGACTGCTGGAAGGTGAAGCTGGACATTGTGGGCTTAACAAATTTGCCCAAATGTATAATGAATCTAGGGAGCGTTTCACTCTGTGTAATATGTCACATCATATTGGCTGAGTGAATCAGCAGCTTAGGCTGTAAGTAAATCAGCCCCACCTCAGCCACTTTATATTCTTCTTACTACCTTATGGTGGTGCTGCTGTTCTTGAGTCCACAGACGTCCAAAATAATCTGCTTCTAGTCAATTATCAACAGCAATTCAATGATGGGAATACTAAAAATGAAACCTTATTTTGATGCATTTTCTCTTTGTAAGAGAGGGAGGGCTTAGCCCCACTAGCCCATTTATACCAGCAGCCCCTGATTAATATCCTTCTTTTCAGTCAGAAATGATCTGTTGGTGCTGACGATATTTGATGCCTGAAAATCAGTAAACTATCATTTTAAGCTAACCAGAAATTAAAATTACATAAATAAATGACAAAATCATTACATATTTATAAATATATAATAAATAAAGAGTAAAACATCTGTAAAAATCTCTTACAGTAACAGTAGAGTCAGTTTCTTACAATTCCTCTAGTGACTATATCAGTTTAGAAAACATAGTTGCTGTCAATCTCCTCTTCATAACAGGGTGAGTGCCCACAATGCTGGATTGTTTAATCCAGGAGTGTCCAGTGTTTCCTGTAAAGGGCCAGTGTGGCTGCAGGTTTTTATACCAACAAAGCAGTAGCACCTGATTAAATCTTTAAAAACTGGAACCACTTGATTAAATAAGTGGGTGAGTTCCTGCCTGTTCCCTGCTAGAACAGCCAGCATAGAGCAGCAGACCTAATCACCAGCAAAAACAGCATATGTTGTATTTTGGATGCTGGTATGCTGGTCATCAGTATGACCGTGTTGGGTGACCAGCTAAACCAGCACCAGATCAGCATAAACCACCTTAGAGCAGCATGAAGTTTATGCTGGTCTTTGCTGTTTTTCTCCAGCAGGGAATGAAAACCTGCAGCCACGCTGGCCCTTTTGTAGATAAAACTGGACATTGCTGGCTTAATGACATGATTGGAGAGATAATCACATTCAGCTGAAGTTTATCGTCCATTGTTTAAATCACTTTCATGAAACAAGGCACAGTTCTAGTTTAAATGGACCACACAATTTATGATGAAATCATCATGTCAGAACAGAAACATCTGAAGAGAAGAACAATGTTCTGTTAAGCATAGCTTACCTTCTGGAGGTTATTCCTTGAAGAAGGCTAACTCAATAAGCCAGACTTATTTCAGCAAACCCAGCTAATTTTCTCCAGTTTGGGTTCCACAAGAAAAGCTAATCTCAGTTACTGCAATCATTAATGTCTTTAGAGAAACCTGCTCTGTGTGAGGCTACTGCTGACTGAACAGGGTTCTGCGTCTGTCTGCAGCAAACAGCTACACAATACTGCAGATCACAATGATGTAATGCTGCAGACCGGAGCACCAATGGGTGTGGTCAGTGGGCAAGATACAGATTTTTTTGTTGTTAATCAATTTTTATTATGCCAAACAAAAACCAGAGCAGTGGCGAGCACGGTCCTTGTTAAGGGTGGTTGTGAGGTTATTCTAATACTGTGCTATTTTGTTTGCACCAGATTATTACCTAAAAAATCCAACATCAGAACTTTGTTTAGTGTCTTTTGTAGCATTCATGAGAAGGGTTTATATCAGCTCAAATCCCAACAAATTCAGTCTTTCTGAGTAATGTAATACTTAACATTAACATTATTGGTAAGGTAGGTGGTAAGTAACAAAGTGCCATTACTTTGCTGTTGTACTTAAGTCATTTTTTAAGTATCTGTACTTTACTTGAGTATTTCTATCCCTTTGTACTTTTTACTTTTACTCACTACATTTCAAAAGAAAAATCTGTAGTTTTCACTCCCTACAGTTTCTAAACAGGCTTGTTACTTTAGTCTTAATGATTATTTATATTATCTCTGTGAACCTGTGATTGGCTACTTTCAGAGGCCCCAGCAGTGACTACACAGGAAAAGCAAGATAAACAAACAAATTAGACAGTGGAATCTGCAGAAAGTGGAAGGCGTTGGTTGTGTTTGTCTGAAACCAGCTTTCTGATTGGTTGCTGTTGTTTTGTGTCAGGGCAGAAGTGTTGGAGTATATAGAGTGATGACTGTGCTTAGGAATAGCCTATAGCTTGATGTAATGACACTGCAGTACATTAGTGGATTTTGTGTGGGCATTTTTTTTTCTTAGTAGAGATTCCATCATAGTCCATCTCTAATTCTTGTAAAGGAAGTCAAACATGTAAACATGTTTGGGTGCTCTGGATGTCTGCATTTTTGCAGATGATGCCTGCAGTTCTAGTATAAATCATTATGTACGTTCAGTTTGATGGATGTGTACCTCTAATTCTCAAGAAAAAAGACATCCTGTTTTAAAAAAAATGAATTACTGGTAACACTTTACTGTAGGGCACTGTTTAGAAGGGTACATGACACCTACATAAGTGCTTCATGACAACTGACACAAACATACATGAACATTTATAAATACTTACTCCAAAAGGCGTCAGCTGTCATAAAGACTGCTTTTGTCGACTTTGATGTCAAGCTGACATAACAACTATATCAAGAGACATAGATTTGTGGTGACATTAGGTTGTGTCGTGACATTTTGTGAGGTCAAATGACATAGCATGTTATGACAACTGACTTTGTAGCTTTTTTGTATGTCAGGTTGACACAGTACTGATGATATGAAACAGCTTGATAAAATGAAGCAGTTGGTAAAACTGAACAAAAGTGAGAACTTCAAAAACTCTCAAGTACTTTGAGGCAACACTGTCATGAAAAACTGCTGTGTAATAATAATACAGTGAATAAAGTTACAAGGCCTACACAACAGCAGTAGTGAGGTCGGGCACTGATGTTGGGCAGTTAAGCCTTGCATCCATCACAGACAACAGACTACACAGCAAGTGAAGTAAATGTCTTTTGTTTATAAAATTCTTTGTACAATTGTACTCTATCATGCGTGATCTCTGTAACCCTTTACTCATTCATTATAACAGAGAAGATAATGGTGTGGGAGGCAAATTTCAGCATTTTCTGTGACTCTTGAGATAACTTCACTGGCATCCTGTTCAGGGAAGAAGTAGATACAGTTTAGTTCTTACCTTCTAAGCACATTGGCTTGGGTCTTCCACTTCTAGGCACTTGAAATGTCCTTCCAAAATCTAAGCATGCCTGTAAGGTTACTGCTTCAGTGTCTTGGCCACTCAGTGATGGAACAAACTTCTGGAATTAAACTTGCTTTGTAACAACCATATTAACAATACCAAAGTACTCCAAAGCTCAAAACATCCTACTTAAACACAGCACACAACAGTAATTACTAAACATTTTCTACAAGATATTTTTTCAGTTGGACAAAACAAAATGAGCACAAACCTAAACAACAAATTTACATTACATGTTCAGATGCCTTTGAATCACAAATGTTTTATCAAGCTTGTACGTGAGCTTACACACAAGTCGAAGAAGGAGGTGTTTCTTTTTCATTTCTAGAATTTGCTGAGCCCTGTCGCTAGTAATTGCTTGCCTACAAGGTTCAGCATAAGCTGACATCTTCTCAACAGTGTCATTCCATTTTTGCAAAGCAGCAGAGGCACCTGGAAATGCTATGTAAAGCTTGGCAATTGGAGCAGTTTGCGCAATTATGTTTCTTTCGAAATTTTGCTTTTCAAAGGCCCTCTTCATGGAGCCAATACAATTGTCTTCACTGAAAAA